AAAAAAACCTTTTCCCCTTCTTCCCCCCCCCCCCCCCCCACCACACACACACACGCTCACACCTCCTTTATCAAAACACTGACCTGTCAGTGATCCTGTGATAATCTTAAATTTTTTTCTCAACAAAGGTGACAAGTGTTCTCCCTATGTTTGTTCTCCCTATGTTTTATCAGAGACGATTGTGGTTACATTGTACATCTGCATTTTGTGATGTTCTTTTGCGTGGTCAGTCGTTCTTTGGTCGTAGTTGTGCGGAGATAGATGGACCAATCTGGACGGCGCATAAAATTATCCCGGTTCCTCCATAAATCTGACTTGATATTTATCTGCCTGGTCCACCTAGTACCTGGCGAAGTAGTTGTAACCCCTGGTACATGTGAAACGAGATGAGGAAACAGGACGTCGATTCATATCATTTTTGCTGTGTGTTTCCTGGTTAATCTTCTCTGCGACTTTTAGCTTTCTATAAATATTTTTTTTATTATTTCCATTACAGGACAATACGGGGTACTTACTTTTGTGAACAATGTTTTAAGTAGATTAAGGAATTGAATTCTTCATAATGCTTATAAAAATCCTAAACATTATTCCCTAATACTTTCAACAAATTTTGTACTGTAATATTTATCGGGTACGCTGTATAAAGCCTGCCTCATCCGAAGATTAAAGTTAGGATTAATATTAAAACTTAGATTAAGATAAAGAATCCACATGTACAAATCCGTAGAGTCGGACTGGAGAAAGATTGGGACAGTACAACATTGGGGCTGCAGAAGAATAAACGTGAACTGATTTTTTTCATGTGTTTACAGTGCATGGTCGCTGTAACCTACATTTGTATTATTATTATTGATGTAGAGGGAAAACTTGTAACAAGTTGTCAGCTTGCATTTTCAGATTGCGTTGTGTGTAAAAAATGGATCCTGAATGCACAGAGTCATTTGAATTTGTCGGACGTGACTTAAAGTAATTATGTATGAAGCCAGGGGGTCAATATGGAGGTTCCCAACACTCCCCCCTCCCCCCCACCATTTTTTTCAATATACGACCCTGAGTGATTAAAAATAATAAACCATTTCACAAAAATTCTGACCAGAAAGCTGTGGTGTAACTGAAAGAGGACAGGTGAAGAAGCTTTTGAATATTAGGTCCGTCTCAATGATGTGTACATCGAGTAAGAAAAGCTCGATTTTTTACGCGACAGTCATTTCCCTTATTTCACATTGACTAACACGCTATTTGTTTTTCAAAAAGACACAAACAAGGCGATCAAAAACCTTCCCAATGGCTCCTTATAACCCCTCCCCTCCCCCTTCTTTCCTTTGGCTAGCCGTTATAAGAAACAAATCTGATATCCAAGTGGCAATTAAGCTTATGGATCACTATTCTTTTTCGTGTTTGGTACATGTACACTAACAGTGTCCTGCCGTTCTTAATGTCCGCAATAACCGTATCCTGGAAGTTGCCGAAAACTAGGGCTTCAGGGTCAACAAAACAACCTGTTGACGAGACCTGAGCTTTTGTTTCTGAGACACTTAATCCGATCTAACTCGTTAGCGGCTCACTAAACCCGGACCCTAACAGCCCTACCTAAGCGCTGCATCCTGTCCGTTGGACAATTCAAATTTATTACACCTGGCATATTTCCGGGTTGGGAAGACTATAAATAAAGAGCGGGGTAATAAACGCATTATTCTGTTCTGTTGTCCAGCCGAGACGACGAGAAACCTCTGTAGAAAAGATGGATCGTTTTTGTGGCATATTCCTTTGCCTTGCGTCTTTAGTTGCGATCAGCGCGGCATCAGAATTAGGTAAGCTTATGTTTATATACTTTTTAATTATTAAATTCCTTTTAAGGAGGTGGGGAGTTGATATTACATAAAAGATAGAATATATTAATTCCATCAAATTCGTTTTTCTCCAATTAAAAAAACTGTGTAACTGCACATTTTTTAAATGGCAGTGCATTTTTCGACTTTAAGAACAAGGGATTTTACCATCAACAAAGTGAGGAAGAAGTTGCTACTTACGACCTGTTGTCTCTTTTACACGTTTATTCTTGTGAGTCAAAAGACGGATGTGGAATCAGTTAGATGGTTTTTCAGTTGTCTAATCAAAAACATGTCAGATCAGTCAACACTATGTTTTTGGCATATAGAATTTAAACAACAACAACGGTAGAATGCGTATGTGTTTCACTGAGCTGGAAAGATACATTTTTTGGAGGTCAGGTTAGGTGCAATTACAATAAACCCAAAGTTTAGGCAGTCTGTAGTTCTTTTATTCATATTGACAAAACACAATCAAGACTCTTAAAAGTTACTTTAAAAAAGACATCGCCATATCAAAATTAAGTCGTATTCCTCATTCCCTTCCTGTTAGAAAGAAAATAAATAAAGAAAGAAATTTGAATGATAAATAATGGAAATAAACTGTTTCAATATCACAAGGATCGAAAAAAAAATACACAGTCACGGCACTAGGCACAAGTTTTATTTATTTTTAAAGGTTAAATCGATTCTCATTTCAGCAGTTCGAGCAAAGCGCGAGATCAACGTGGATGCAATTCGGCAGCGCGTGGAACAGCTAATGCGCACGGGGAACATCCCCGATGCCGTCGTCAAGGCCCTCGGCTCACTGGACCAAGTGATGCAGATTCTGAGCTGCTTGCCTACTAGATGTACCGGGAATTGTTGCGCGAGTCCTGATTTCTGCGCCATTCCACAGTTAGCTTCGGGGTTGGTAAGAAACCCGAGGGCAAAGTTCACCTTCTGTAAGAACCCTTGGAAGATCCGCATTGATCTGGACGCCGACTTTCGACTTAGCGGCATTGCAAGACTATTGAAAGTAAGAATGGGGTTTATACTATATGATATTATGATTGTTAAGTCGTGGCTTTTGAAAAAGGTGATACTATAATATATAGATAATTATTATCATTATTGTTATTATTCTTATACTTCGTACAATTTGTCCGGAACCGTGCAACTTTAGTCAAGGGTGAAAATTACAAATAGGTTCGAAATACGGACACTGTTGTTAACTTTTCGATGGATAATGCACTAATGGAACATTCAGGATTGGTGGTCAGAAATCTTAACGTAGAAATCTCTCTGCGGACTTTACGCTTTGTATTAAAAATAAGGGATTTTATAGAATTACGTGGCAAATAAATAGACTACAGTCAAATACCTTACGTGTACTTAAATTGTCTGTGCATCATTAAATTTTCGTTCAATCTGTCTTTATGTATTTAGATTTAGATTTTAAAAAGCAATCATTAACAATAAACATATTTTTGTATCTGTAGATCAAACTAAAGCCTATCGAGATACCCATCGACAACAGAGAGACTGAGGGCGTATTAAAGATGCAGTCGACCACAGAGGTCGCCTCTGCTGCCGTCAGAGTCATCGGACTGCGCGTAGCCAAAGCTAAACTGAAGTTCGATCTTCTCCTTAGATACGACTGTACTAAACCACGAAACAACCCATTGCAGCGAAACAGGTGCGTTCACATAACTTAATGATTCCAATTTCTTCATGAGGATGAATGATAAGCCTATAATGGATGACTGTGTTTACTTTTTATTTGAATTATTTGCTAACGTCTTGCTTTGGTCTGCAAGCCCATTTCACGAGTCCATGTTTATTTTCTTCCTCACGTCCCTACAGGTACATAATTTCATTAACAATGATGTCTACATTTACGCATAGGTTAAGATAAATTTTACATAGGTAATTTTTGGCAGAGTTAAGGTAAATTCAAAACAGTTTTACTATCCTAATTTCTTTTTTAATTTCTAATTTGATATCCTAATTTTTAAAATAAATGAACATTTTATCATTATTTATTTATTTATTTATTTATTTATTTA